TCCCTATTGCTCTCTCCTTTTGGGATTTTGGGCATGTACACATGGGCGCCTGGTATGTTTCTCAAGCTGCTGGGTCTGGGACTCAAATTGTACAATTGGCCACGTGGGATTTAGCCACCTTAACCACCAGGCTATGGACTGCCTATCTCCCCCATTTTTAAATTTTAATTTTTAAAAAACGTTTATTTCCACTATGAATGAGAGACACAGAGACAGACACCCCAACAGGGTCTCGATGCCACAATTCTCCCTCAGTTTCAGCCAGCCTACGTAGGTCATGGGCATGCCTCTTCCTGGGGTAGACAGGGCAGTCTCTGGGTACAAACTGGCAACCTTTCCACTTGGGTCTACCTCACAAAGCGTCATGTTTTACTGCTGTATCACTGTTTGGCTCCTAACACTTAAAATTACAGTAAAATACACATAACACAAAATTTATCATATTGACAGGTTTTTTCTTTGAGGTTTTTCCATAGGGTGCATGCGCTTGCTGCAGAGGACAGAGACAGAGAGAGACAGTGAGAGGAAAGTGAGACATCACCCCACAGCAGGAGAATAGCCATTCTTCCATCTCTTCTCCATCCTCCTCTTGGGATTTTGGACTTGCATGCACACATGCCCAGGGAGATTTTCAAGCCGCCGGGGCAAGGACTCAAACCATAGTCAGCTATGTGTCAGTCTAGTGTTGTAACCAACACTACCTGCTGGCCTGCAAATTAACAGTTTTTAAGGATGCAGTTCACTAGTATTAAATACATTCATAGTGTGTGCAATAGATGTCCAGACCTCCTTCATATTGCATTTCCCTCTCCCTCTAGCCCCTGTTACTTGTTTTTTAAAATTATTATTTAATTTTATTATTATTATTATTATTTTAATTTGCTATTAGGCACTTATGCTCACCAGAGAGAAACAGAGAGAGAGGGAAAGTGAGAAAGCAAGCCACCAGGTCCATGACTCGAACTGCGGTTGGCCCTGTTGGAGTCCAGTACTTTAACCACCATGCCACCTTCTGGCCCCTTACTATTTTTAATTTGCTATAGGGCATGTGTGCTCAACAGAGGAGCGGGGAAGGGAAAGTGAGAAAGTGAGCTGTTAGGGAGGGAAGGAAAGTGAGAAAGCAAGCTGTCAGTTCCTGGACTCAAACCATGGTCGGCCATGTGGGAGTCCAGTGCCTTAACTACCACCCCACTTACTGGCTCTTGTTTTTGTTCTTAACATGATCAAGCTCAAAATGTACAGAGATGTGTGTGTGTGTATGTCTATGTGTTAAATTTATTTCTTCCATCTCCAGCAGGTAACTTGGTGGTTAAGGCACTGGATTCCCTCATGGCTGACCACAATTTTTTTTAAGAGGTTTTTGCTATAAGATGCGTGTGCTCGCCCTCAGACAGAGAGATAGAAAGTGAGAAATCACCCCCCAGGGGGGATGGCCACGCCGCAGTCCCTTCTCCTCTCAGGATCTTGGGCACGCACGCCCATGCGCCCGGCGTGAGTTTTAAGCCACCGGGTCCAGGACTCAAACCGTCGTCCACTATGTAGGAGTTCAGTGACATAGCCATTACGCTAACTGCTGGTCCCATGCCGACCACAATTTTAATTCCAGACCTGGTGGCTTGAAAATCACACTGGGTATATGTGTATAGGTGCCCAAAATCCCAAAAAGGGATTGTGGTGTGACCGTCTCCCCTTGGAAGGGGGTGATTTATCACTTTTCCCTTCTCTATCTCTCTCCATCTCTCTCTGGGGAGCGCAGGTACCCTATGTCAAAAACAACAATTATTTCTTCCATGGCAGGGCACCCTCCCAACAGGGTCTTCACTCTGTGACCTACCCCCAGCCTCAGTTAGTCAGGATCATGGGCACACACGTGTGGACGTGGTATGCACAGAGAGACCCTGGGACATGAACCTAGGACCTTCCCACATGGCTTCCACATTGCAGAGCATTGTGTTGCTACTTTGCAGCCGTGGCTAGTCACAGTTTTGTATCTTGCTTGTTTGACCTACTGTGGACATTTACTCATATCATGAAGGTTTTTAGAACAATTTGTTCTGTGATTATATCAGTCCCTTAGATGGGGTTCATATTTGTGGTTGCAATAAGTACTAACTGTAAAGGGACTGATTTTCCTAAGCTATTGATTCAGAGCTTTGGTCAGGCTCAGTCTTTATGGGTTCAAAGGTGTGTTTTCTGTTTCCATTAGTCTGAACACTGAGTCATTAGGGTACATTCCTATTTCTCTTCATGTTTCTTTTATTTCTTTTTCTCTCTCCTTCCCTTTTAACTGACTCTCCTTCCTCTGCTTTATACTCTTCTTTCTCAGGTAAGTCAAACCTCATGGATGCCATCAGCTTTGTGCTGGGTGAGAAAACCAGCAACCTGCGAGTAAAGACCCTTCGGGACCTGATCCATGGAGCTCCTGTGGGCAAGCCAGCTGCCAATCGGGCCTTTGTCAGCATGGTCTACTCTGAGGAGGGTGCTGAGGACCGCACCTTTGCCCGCGTTATTGTAGGTGGGTAAGGCTGGCCAGAAGGCTCCCCTTGGGTCCTGGGAGGTGGCTAAACTAGTAGGCTGGAATGGGAGGGAAACCTGATCCTCAATGACTCATGCATTGTCTTGTAGGGGGTTCTTCTGAGTACAAGATCAACAACAAAGTAGTCCAGCTACATGAGTACAGTGAGGAATTAGAGAAGTTGGGCATTCTTATCAAAGCTCGTAACTTCCTCGTCTTCCAGGTAGGCGTTTCAAACAGTTATTGGTTATCTGTTTTGGCCATCCCTTGTACCATCCCCACTGAATTTGCTACATCACAGGCTTCATCTTTTCTCACTTGAACTAACATAGCATATTTTTTAGTGGACTGTCTTGACTCCAGTCTGGCCCTTTTCAGTTCTTCACCTAGACCGGGTTCATCTTATGAGGGCATAAATCTACTTCTCTTTCTTCTCTCCTTAAAGCATTTCAGTGATTTCTTTTTATTTTTTAATCATTTTTTAGAGGTCTTTACCTTAGGGCATGTGTGCTTGCTAGAGAAAGAGAGACAGAGACAGTGAGAAGAAAAGTGAAAAATCACCTCCTAGGGGGGATGACCATGCCACAGTCCCTTCTGGGATCTTGGGTACACACACACCCGGTATAAATTTCAAGCCACTGGGTCCAGGGTATTGGTCATGTGGGAGTCCAGCAACTTAACAGCTATGCCATCCGTTGGCCCCAGTGAGTTCTTATTGCCTTATGATGGTGGTCCTCAAATTGTAGTCTCCAGATTGGCAATATTAGTAACATCTGGAAACGTGTTAGAGATCCACATTTCAAACCCCACTACAAACCTACTGACTCAGAAGAGCCCATGGGAGTGGGGCATAGCAGTTTGTGTCTTACCAAGCTCTCCACGTTATTATCATGCTTACTGAAGTTTGAGAACCAATTGCCTTAGGACAAAATCCAAACTCCTAAGTCTGTCACTCAAGAAGCACTATCATCTGGTTCTTGCCCACTTTACTAACTTTAACTGCCCGTACTTTTCCCCTCCAGCCTTGGACTCCAAACTAATTTATAGTTCCCCAAATTCACTAGCTTACTTTGACCTACAGGCCTTTGTATATTGATTTCCCTCTACATAGACCTTTTTTTTTCTTGTTTTCTTGGTTAGTTTTTCTCTATCTTTCATGGTCAGCTTAGATGTGAACTTTGGAAGCCTTTCCAAATAGACATCCTTACTAGTATATTACCCCCAAACTTCATTTAGTCTTTTATCTGTGCTGCTTCTCTGTCAGTGCATATAACACACTGTGTTGTATTTATGTCTGTCTCTTCTCCCTTTGTTCCTCAAAAGGTAGAGAATATGTCCTCAATGCCAGTGTACAATATGGCACCCAGCGTGGGAGGGCATTCAGTGAACCTTTACTAAATGAATGAGTGGGAATAGATAGGGGAAACTGGCCTGGCTAGGGTCTAAATGGGAGAGTATTTTGACCTTTATTAGGGTGCTGTGGAATCCATTGCCATGAAAAACCCCAAAGAGAGGACAGCTCTATTTGAAGAGATCAGTCGCTCTGGGGAGCTGGCTCAGGAGTATGACAAGCGAAAGAAAGAAATGGTGAAGGCTGAGGAGGACACGCAATTTAATTATCATCGCAAGAAAAACATTGCAGCTGAACGTAAGGAGGCCAAACAGGAGAAAGAAGAGGTAGGTGGCCAGGGCACTTCTTGGGTCTGACGGGCCAGGATGGAGCCAGTGCCTTACTGATACACTATTTCCTTCATTCCCTTATTTGAACAGGCTGACCGTTACCAGCGCCTGAAGGACGAGGTGGTGCGAGCTCAAGTGCAGCTACAGCTTTTTAAACTGTACCATAATGAAGTGGAAATCGAGAAGCTCAACAAAGAACTGGCCTCTAAGAACAAGGAGATCGAGAAGGACAAAAAGCGTATGGATAAGGTAGAGGATGAGCTGAAGGAGAAGAAGAAGGAGCTGGGCAAAATGATGCGGGAGCAGCAACAGATTGAGAAGGAGATCAAGTAAGAGGCAACTGGGCCTGTAGCTGTACAAAACCAAGGGACTGTGTTGTTTGCTAAGGCTGTTCTAAACCTACAGTCTGTTGCCAATGCTAGTTTCTCTGTTTTCCCTCCGACTTTCCATAGCCAGACTAGGTATATTTCCTGACTTGCATTTTAGACAATAAGAATATTTAAGTACCTAGGCGCTCGGTAGACAGGAGCTCAAAAGAGGGGAAACTTGAAAGTGGTTGTGACTTTGCCAAGTGAGAGGAAATGATGAGGGGTCCATCCACTGTATGGGATGGAAAGGCCTTCCTCGAAGAGAATTGAAGCTAGAAGTTTAAAGGACAAAAATTTGAAGATTAGATCAGAGGACAACTAAGTAAACATTGGATGTTCCTGGTTGTTGTTAATGAGGGGCCTGGCCTGACATGGCCAGTGTTGGGGCAGAGGTGGCAGCTTTGTCTTTTTTTTTTTTTTTGGGAGAGAGAGATTTTTGCTATACTGTATATGATTTTGCCAGAGAGACAGAGAGCAAAATGGCATCCTTCCAGAGGGACTGGCCACGTCATAGTCTCTTCTCCATTCTTCTCTTGGAATTTTGGGCATGCATGCACACACACCTGACATGACTTTCAAGCCACTGGGTCTGGAACTTAAACCGCGGTTGACCATGTGGGTGTCTAGTGCCTTAACCGCTATGCCGCCTGTTGGCCCTGGAAGCTTTGTCTTTTAGGTTAGCCACAATGCCAGTCTGAAGCCATAGGTTTTGAGTAGTCAGACTGAACCTACTTGGAGAATCTGTGGGGCATTTGACACTTATTCTCTCTCTCTCTTTTGTTTTTTAAGAATTATTTAATTTTGGGACCAGCAGT